CTAAGTTATTTGTTTTATTTTATTTGTTATCTTTATTTTATTTCACATTTTTAACGTGTGGGGTTTTTATGTTTTTGTATGTCCTAGTGTACAGCACTTTGGCCAACAGTGTTGTTTTAAAGTGCTCTATAAATAAAGTTGTATTGTATTGTATTGTATAAATGGAAACAAAACCCGTGGAGAAAAGCAGGGCCACGCAGGGCAGGGAACATTAAAAGAAGCGAGTGAGTCCAAATTTGTGCATAGGAAGAGCCTTCTAATCTCACACAGAGACACTTTAACAGTTTACAGCTCTATGTTTAACGGGAATGAAAAGTGACGCTTACAAAGAGGTTGTTTCATATCATGCGTTCACACAAACACAGACCTCACAGAAACCCGGCGCCTGCTTTGTGCCCTAAAGACGGAGCATCGAAAGGTCTCGTGATAAGAACGTTTCTGCAGGGAGGCTGAACTTTAATATTGCTGCTTCGCTTCTTTTTCAATTTAAGACAAAAATCTATCAAAGCATATGACGGCATCCCCTCCCCTGAGAGTTTTATTTTATTTTATTTTTATTATAATCTACAACCCCAATTCCAAACCAGTTGGGACAGTGTGTGAAGATAAATGGTAAATGGACTGTGCTTCTATAGATCCTTTCTATCTAATCGAGCTACTCAAAGCTCTTTACAACAATCTGTGCCTCATTTACCTCCACACACATTCATGCAGCACTGACTACATCTCTACAAAAATGATCTGAATCTGTAGAGACCAATCAGTGCTTTAGATCTCATTCATACACCGATGGGACACACGTCAGAGGCAGTGAGGGGTTCAGTGTCTTGCCCAGGGACACTTCAGCATGTGACTGCTGGTGGTGTCAGTGTAATGTGTATTATTTGCACGCATCATGATCAATACCTCTCCTGTGAGAACGCACTACAATGTCCTTCTGCTCATGTTGTGATGTGTGATATTAACGGTCCCATGTAATCACTCCAACTTTGACAAATCAGTGAGGAACAGAAAGGTCTGGTTGTTTTGATAACCTAAAGGTCTGATAGATTTTCTTCTTCTTCTTTCGGCTGCTCCCTTGATCAGGGGTCACCACAGCGAACTGAGTCACTCAGACGTGACAAGTATTTTTATGCCAGATGCCCTTCTTGATGCAACCACAGACCACCGAGCTGCCACAGCCCTCTGTGTGGATCAGAGAGCTGCCATCTACTGCGCCCGGGGGGAGCGGGCCTTGCTCAAGGGCCCAGAGTGGGGCAAATGAGGGTGGAGGCAGGTGTGTGTGCTTCACCAATCCCACCCACATTTGGATGTTGGTACTGGGAGTTGAACCAGCGATCTTCCAATCACAGGCCCACCTTCCCTAACCTCGGTGCCACCACTCCCACACTCCCTATCCTAAAGGGCTGATTGATGTGACGTTGATTTGATATGGTGGTGTGTCTCAGGCAGAGTCCTTGACTCAGATCCACTCCTTCGTGCCTGCAGCGGACCCTTGGATGATGACTCAGACATGGAGGGGAGGGGCTGAGGGCATGGACAGGGAGATTATTCTATAAAACTTGTCCGGTCCAGAGAGTTAGAGCAGGTCAGGGTTTCACATGGATGAGAGCTCTGATAACAGTGTAATCTTGTAATTGCGACACATCGAAAAACATAAAGACAGGGCCAACAAATGGCTGTAAAAGTAAGTGATGCAAAACAGCTGGAAGAGCATTTAGCAATTGATGAGGTTAATTAGGAAAAAGTCAGTAAAAGACGGATACAAAAACATGTTTAAGACAGGGCTTCTCAGATTTTTTGGGTTTGGGAACCCCTGACAGGGGAGAAAAATTTCCAGGGAATCTCTCATAAACATGCTGTATATGTGTAATATGAGCAACATTTCTTTAAAACTCACTAAATGGGGCGTTGAGCTGCCTTTTGGACCATGGATGGGCTAAAAGTGTCAAGTACTGAAAAATCATACAGCTGGTAGTCACTAAAACTGATTCATAGTTTTCAAGAGACACTAATAAAGTTGATCTTTGGTTTTTCAGCTCACACCATTGGTTGGTTCACCATCTTTCAGGTCGGAGGCAGTGTGTTCAACATAATGGTACTTCCTCCATTTATTTAAATGGTAAAAGGACTGTACTTATATAGCACCTTTCTATCTTATTTCAAGATACTCAAAGCGCTTTACACTACAACCTGTGTCCTCATTTACCCATTCATACAGCACTCTACTAGATCTCTAAAAAGCTAATTGAACAAATCATTCTAAAGAGACTAATCAGTGCTTTAGATCACATTCATACACTGATGGGACACACATCGGAGGCTATGAGGGGTTCAGTGTCTTGCCCAGGGACACTTCAACATGTGACTGCTGGTGGATTCGAATCCCCAACTCTCACATTGGAGGACAACTGCTCTAACCACTCAGCCACAGCCGCCCCATTTAACAGCCAACAATGGTGTACCACAAGGCTCAGTCTTAGGACAAACCCTCTTTATAATCTACAAAGGTAATGTAGATCAAATTATTCCTGACGCATCCATACATTTCTATGATGATGACACAGTTGTTTATTGTCGAGCTAAAACAGTTGCTAAGGTTTTCCAGCTTTTGCAATCCACCTTCGACATCATCCAGTCTGATTTGTTCCTTCTCAAACTTGTCCTAAATGCCGATAAAACCAAAGGGATGTTGTTTCAAACAGGAAGTCGGTCCCAGCAGTTCTTCCTTCAATTTTATCTTCGAATGGTGTCCCTACTGAGTTTTGTCAATTTCTACAAATATTTGGGTATCTTGGTCGATTCGCATCTCTCTTTTAAGCTCCACATGGAAAACGTGGTAAGCTGAAAGATAATTTTTTTTTTTTTAATTTTCAGAAATAAATCCTGTCTAACTTTGAATGCTTGGAAATGCCTTGTAACTGCAATTTTCCTTCCCTCCATTGACTACGATGACATTATCTATATGAACTCTCCTACAAGAACCCTGCAGATGTTGGATGCTGTCTATCATGGTGCACTAAGATTCATAACTGGCTGTGATTATCGTACCCACCACTGCACCCAGTATTCACTGGTTAACTGGACATCATTAACTTCATGCAGACTCTCTCACTGGTACATTTTCATCTTTAAATTACTTCTTGGTCTGCTGCCTTCATACATCTCCTCCTACATGTCTCTGTGTGAGTGCAGCTACAGCGTGCGCTCTCAGGACATTATTACCTGCAGTGTTCCCTCAATGAGGACTGAACTTGGCAAAAGGGCCTTCTCCTACTCCGCTCCTGTTTCCTGGAATATCTTACAAAAAGATTTGAAGCTCTCGACCTTCACCTCTCTCAGTGGCTTTAAGAATCAAGTTCATGAGAAAAACCAATGCAGACATGTTCCTGTTTTTAGTTTTCTACACCGTTTTATAATCTAGCTGTTTTTTCTAATTTTTTTAATACCACTTTCTGTCACTTGTTCTTCTCAATTTACATGCTTTCTTTTATGATTGTCTACTGTTGTCATCACTCTTTGTTAAAATCAGGTCTCTCTTGTAA